TTGACTCCCTCTTCTTTGTGGCAACCCTTGAGATATAGGAAGACTGCTATCATGTCTCCCCTGGTCCTTCTTTCTATTAAACTAGACATACCCAGTTCTTCATATGGTTTAGTCTCCAGTCCCCTAATCCTCTTTGTTGCTCTTCTCTGCACTCTTTCTAGAATCTCCACATCCAGTCTCCACGTTCAAATTTTGTGTTCCTTCTAATATGCTTCTTCTTTCAGGACTATTAATCTCACTGAAAAAGCATAGTCCAGTCAGGCAAACAGATCACTCTACCTGTTTCTGCTAGCATTTAACTGCAAAAAAAAAGGTTGTTTGAATAGAATATAAATTTTTATTGGCTACGTGTGATTGGACACACAAGGAATTTGTCTTTGGTGCATAAGCCCGCAGTGTACATACAGCCAACAAGTGAAAAGCCATGGTCATAATCATTAATTCAATCATCGTAAATCATAAGATACAACACTCAGTGATAGTCATAGGATACTAATTAAAAACAGTCAATATAAATTATAAGATACAAATAATAAAGTGATAGTCTTAAGGTGCTAAAGAAATAGGTAGTAAGAAAGACGAAAAGGATAATAGCAATATAGTCCTTCTCAATTTAATCCAATCAATCGACAAAAAAAATATTAAACAGGGAATTAACAGATAAGTTTAAGATAACCAAAGGGGTAAGACAAGGAGGTCCTCTATCCCCACTTCAATTTATTTTATCATTAGAAAGTTTACTGATACAAATTAGGCAAAAGAAGGAAATAAGGGGATTGAGAATTAAAAAAGAGGAATGTAAATTACAAGCATTTGCAGATGATCTGGCTTTCATAAATTTTCCATATTTTGGATAAATTACTACAAGAAATAGCAAAATTTGGCAAGGTAGCAGGGCTTAAGATAAATAAAGAAAAGACCAAAATACTAAGAATCTTACTAATAGACAAAAAGAGGAGTTAGAGGAGAAATTGGGGATTGAGACGACCAAGGTGGTGAAATATTTGGGAATTTGGTTAATGGCAAAATGTTCCTCAATAAAAGAGGACAATTATAATAAATTAGTGCAACAAATTCAGAAAGGTTTGGACAATTGGGTAAAATTACAAATATCATTAATTGGGAGAATCGCAATAATTAAAATGAATGTCTTACTGAAAATTTTGTATCTTTTTCAAATGGTACCAATAAAATTAGGGAAAAAAATCTTTGCAGAATTAAACAAAATAATAGTAAAATTTATTTGGCAAGGGGGAAAAGCCCATATAAAAATTAAACTCCTACAAGATAGTAGAAATAAGTGTGGGGGGGGTTGCCCTCCCTGGCTGGGAACTCTACTAATTTGCAGTGGCAGCTACCTGGTTAAAGGACTGGATTAATTTAAATGATAGTAGGATTTGGTGCGGGGAGGGGCCCACGATCTCCGTGAGCTGGCATGCCTTTCTTTGAGAAGGAAAAACTAAGACCCATTCATACTTTCAGAGACATCTAGTAAGGGATTCGCTGTTATGCATCTGGGGGAAAAATAGGAAAAATCACTACATGAAAATTCCAATTTGGCTATCAGCAACAGAGGCAATGATTTACCCAAATGTACTAGATCTAAACAAGACTGTGAGTTATAAAGAATTATTGAATGAGCAAGAAGAATTAAAATCTGAGCAGGACTTAAAAAGCCAGGGAATAGAGACACGATGGTAGCCCTATCTCCAAATTAAAACATGATATAAAAAAGATGTAGAACAGCATGGCATCTATGAAAAACAAGTGGAATTGGATAAGATATTGCAAGGGATTGGCAGGGGGAATGATTATCAAAGCTTATAATTATTTCATAAGACATAAGATGGAAGAAGAAATGGTGAAGGAGACGATCAGCTGGGCTACAGATTTTGGGTATAGAGTTGAATTAGATCACTGGGATAAATTATGGGAGAAGAATTATAAATTGACGATGTCAGCAGCCTAAAGGGAAGATTTGTATAAAATGCTTTACCGTTGGCATTTCCCCCAGCGAGATTGGTCAAAAGGTTTCCCAATCACTCACCTGAACATTGGAGATGTGGATATAAACAAGGAACTTTCTACCATATGTGGTGGACTTGTGCCAAAACCAGAGAATACTGGCTTAAAATAAAGAAATGGCTAGAACAGATGATAGAACAAAAGATTAAATGGAAACCAGAACTATTTCTATCAGGCGTACTAGGTGATAAAATATGTAAAAAAAATCTCAGTATTTAACACTACATATATTAACTGCAACAAGAATAGTATTTGCTCAAAATTGGAAGCAGAACAATATCCCTCCAGATGCAATGATCATAAGAANCCGAAAAATATGGTAAATAAATAAAAGCCGCCCAGAGAGGGTTTGGATTGCGAGCTGGGCATATATATAAATTTAATAAGTAAATAATGCAAATATGGATTTCAAGTTAAGGATGGAAAATTATTTTTTGAGCATTTTTTGTCCTGCTATATTCCCTCCTCAACACTTTCTTCATCTTTCGGTCTAAGGGACTAAAAAACAATACGGTATGTCTTTTGCCCCTTTGGAGGTTAAGTAAATAGGTAAGTTCCTATTTACTTAGAATAAGAACAATGGAAAGTGCTCCTATTGAAAGTAAGGAGACAATAGAAATCAGAACACTTTCTGATTATCTAGTCATTCCCTTTCTTACAAAATGCTTGTGTTCCTTATTGAATGCTCCGATTCAGAATTCCGCAACATTTCTGGCTTTGTGGACCAGCGGGGGAATGGTTCTGCACGAACGCCCAGCATGTGTGCGCATGTACAGCTCCATCTGCACAAGCAGCGTGCACAAACGCCTGTCGCTCACTTAATTGGAGCATGCACGCATTTGCTGGCCTTCTGCTTGTGCAAGTGAGGATGGAAGGCAGGCAAGCGTGTTCACCAGTCATTTCCATGGCCCGGTTGCAAATCTTTCAAGGCCCACTAGTAGGCCAAAGCCCACAGGCTGGGGACCCTGCTCCAATTCACTTTTCTTTGGAGGTCAGTAAATGGAATTAAGGATGTGGATGATTTATTCATTCCCATCTCACCCAGCACTGACCCTAAGTGGCTTACAACCAAATAGAACACAAGATAAAACATTAAAATAATAAAGATTAACAAAAATATATGTAATAAATATTAAAGATAAATTAATCAATACAATAATACAAAACAAAACAAAATAATGAAATGTTCAATATTAATTTAAAAATAAATATTAAGATTAATCTTATCTCCAGACAAGATGAGAGGCATCTAATCTAATCTAAAATAAAACAAAATCTAAAATAAAACAACATCTAAAATAAAACAACATAAAATAAAACCAAATCTAAAATAAAACCAAATCTAAAATAAAACAACCAAATCTAAAATAAAACAACCAAATCTAAAGTAAAACAAAACCTAAAGTAAAACCAAATCTAAAATAAAACAAAATCTAAAATAAAACAACTTCTAAAATAAAACAACATAAAATAAAACCAAATCTAAAATAAAACCAAATC